TTGCAAAATCTGTCTTCTTCCCCAACCTCCTTAGAAATAGGTGCCTTCTAGTGGGAATCAGAAACCTCCCGTCAGCTCCCACCTGGGCCCCATGAAGAATGTTTTTGAAAACTTTTCTGGCGTGGCAGGAAACTGAGTTATCAGCTGGCCCATAGTGCCCACAGCCTGGAAGACTCCACTTGAGCCAATTCCTTAGAAGCTCCTCCTGTCAAGGTCCCCTTCCTGTGAGAGGTGAACACACTGGTCCTTGTAACCCTGGGGTCCAGCCTCCACCCGAAGGAGTCCCAAATTTAAATGTTTATAAGGGTGGAGTCCTAAGTAAAACAATTGGAAGGACTTTGGCAACTGGGGAACAGCTCCAGTCATTTGTTGCCATGTGAGAATATGGGGGGAAGGAAGTAGCATTAAAATAGGGCGTCAGACCTCCCCCAACTTTGTCTCCTTCCCACCATCATAGGAGTCTCTTAAGACACCCTTCCTTAAATCCTGTGTATAATTTTCTACTGTCACATAACAAATTATTACATGCTTAGCTCCTTGAGACCACACACATTTATTATCTTATAGTTCTATAAGCCCGAAGTCCAGCCAGATTCAGTTGGACCTAGGGGCCAATCACGGTGTTGGCTGGTCGGAGCGCTTGTCCTGAGACCTTGGGGAATAATCAGTTTCCATACTCAGTGGGTAGCAGGACTCATCTTGCATTTGTAGGACTAAGGTCCAGTTTCCTTGCTGGCTAGGAGCAGCTAGAGGCTGCTCTCCTCCTGAGGACATTGCACGTGGTCATTGCACCCAGACCCTCTAGCTTCAAATCCCCCTCATGCTTTAAATCTCTCTACCCCTCTGTACTGGGCAGAGAAGCTACTTCGAAACTACGAGGCTCACCCAGATACTCTCCCTTTGCCGTTAGAAATAACCCCACCATGTGTAGGACTAATACCGCAGGTAGGTGATGATTGCACTGGAACTCAAATGCGAGAGGATTACACAGGGGCAAGATAGAATCCCCAACCACCAAGGTGGGGAGGAAGCGTCCCTCACTCCTCGTCCCAGGCTCCCTGACTTCCATGATTCTGGAGCCAGTCACCTCTGATCTCTGATCCTTAGTGTCTTCATCTGATAAATGGGTTGAGGGGCTAGATGGAATCTGGAGTCCTTTTCAAAAAACATCTCATACACTAATTGTGAAGTAAGAAGACAGAATTTTGATCTTTTGTCTGGTGGTGGCCCCCCACTGGCCAGACAAAAGCAAGACGACATTACCCATGGTCAACACTTCCCTGCAGGCCTTTGAAAGAGCATCGCCAAGGAAGAGCCATAACTGAGACAATGGCACTGCCCCATTGAAGGTGTTTGGTTACGGGGTCCAGCCACCCAGCTGGGCCAGGCTATGGGCTGCACAGACTAGGCCGGGCCCTTCCTGGTGTCTGCACAGGGCAAGGTGGCTGCATCTGGTTGGTGGGGGATTGGGCAAAGCAGGGGAGGTGGCAACCAGCCCTCCCTTCCCTGCCTTCCTGCCAGAATGGCCCTCCAAGGCATCTCCCAAATTAGTCCTGTCTGTCCCCAATCTTGACCTCAGGCTCTTTCTGTCTCCTCCCACCCAACGCTAGCCAGGCTGGGTCACTTGATCCCAGCATCCTGGACACCCCCCCCCCCACCCCGGGCTATTCCTGCCTTAGGAACCTCTCATCTGAGAGCCCCAGTCAGTCATCTCCCCCCAGACCCCCCAGAAAAACAACAGCACCTCTTTCTCAGGTGAGCTCCCTGCCCTCCCCAGGCTCCACTTTCTATTCTGTTTGCAAGCTTCCCTGCACCTCCCTACTCCCAGGTGCCAGAGGCCTGGCAGAGGGGCTGGTTGGAGACCCTCCCCAACGCCATCCAAGCGCGGGAGCTGGGTAAGAGGTGGGGAAATGAATATTAATTTATCATGATTAGGCAAATCCGGCAGGGAGAGCCGATTCCGGAGGAGGCTAAAAAGATGAATTTCAGCAATAAAATTAAATAAGGACGGACGGGCAGCCCCTCCTCCCTCCCGCTTTGCTGATCTCTCTCTTTCTTACAATTTATGAGGCCAATTATGAAGATGAGGTTGGAAGTTCCTGGAACTTCACTAAATGCAAACGGCGGTCCCTGCTGTTCCCATCAAATTAATTAACCGCGCGCTATTGATGGCCGCTCAAGGCTGACGCAGGCGGCCAGCCCTGCGGCCGCCTCCGTGGACTCAAGGACCCAGAGTCCAGAGCCCAGCCGGGGACCCGCCACTCTGCAGTCCCTGCCAAGTACCACACAAGACTTCAGGGACCCCCTTCCCCCCTCCGGGGCCTGCCTGAGCCCTTAGCAACACTGGGGCAGGCATTAAGAGATCTGGCTAGAGAGACAAGTGACGAACACCTGGGGTTGCCCCCTCAGCCACAGATGCCAAATTGGGAACGCACAAGAGACTAGCAGGCCGGGAAGGTGTGTGCAGCACAGGCAGGTGAGCGTGCAGTGAAACAGCAGGGCAGAGAATGACAGCTGGGGCGGCGCCGTGGCGGGAAGGGCTTGCTCTGGAAGGACACACTGTCTGGCGCTTGGGACCTGCTCTATCAGGGTCAGACTCGAGCCCGGCACAGTGAGGGCCAGAAGAGGCTCCGCAGTCACTCAGCTGCACAGCCAGCACCCTCAAGGCCCTCCCCATAGTCCCTCAACCCCTGGGTTCTCTCCTCATCTCTGGGGCCTCATTCAGGAATGGTCCCTCTCTAACTTTTGCTGGGGCTCACCTGCTGCGCTGACCTCCAGGCCTTGAGGTGCCCTCAGGTAGGGTATCTTTGGGTATCTCAGGCCAGCTTGAGGGCTTCAGACCTGGGGGATCCCCAGTTCCAGATCTCAGAAACAGGTTGCCATGTGACTCAGGCCTTCTGCAAACCTGGCTGGCGCCGACTCAGGTAGAGTAAACTAGAGCTAAAGGTTGTGGGGCTGAGCCTGTCCTGGGCCGGGGCAGTTCATGCATGTGTCTGCAGTCTGGGTAACAGTTGCCCCATTTGGGACTTCTTCAGGAAGCCGATCTCTGAGATTGGCACACTTTTAAGGACTCATAATTAGACTAGGGCCACTGGATACATCAGGATAAGTTCCTCTCTCTCAAAACCCTTGACCCTCATCATACCTGCAGTCCCTCTCACCAACTAGGGTAACCGAGTCACAGATTCCAGACATTAGGATGTGGGTATCTTTGGGAGCAAGGGCCTACTACATGTGAAGTCTGGCCAGAAACACATCTGGCTCGGTAACAGAGTGGTGATGAGCTAGGGTGTGGGGCAGGCTTGCTGGGGCTCTCTCTTCCCAGGACCACATGGTGGCTGCATGGTGGTTTGTGGGCTGCTCAGTTGCTCAACAGATTGCCAGTTCCCACCAGGACTCTGAAACACAACCTCTTTCTAGCAGGGTCAAGACTAGGCTGAAAACCTGATCAGGAACCAGGTTCAGGCTCGGGGGGGTGGGGGGTGGGTTCTAGGAGCACCCCACCCCCACCCCAAAACAGCATACCCATTTACTTTGGACTCAGAGAACCATCCCTCTTCAAACTGAGTCCCTCTTCAGACTCAGATCTTCCCATCAGCCATTCTCCTGGGCTTCTGTGTCAGATGAGCAGCCAAAACAATAACATCACCAGGATGTTTCTAGAAGTACTGGGCACTCTACCTTTTTATTCCAGGATTTCCTGTTGCCCTTGTCAGAAGGTAAGACCAAGTCTGTATGGTTTAAAGGCAGACTCTGTAATCCTTAGTGCCCTAAAGGTGGGGGTTTGGCAGGCCCTGGTTTCAGACATGAAATCAGCACTATCCCTGTGTTCTTAGGGGCTTCCTATGCAGAGGTAAGGGTTAATTGGCCAAGTTAATCCACGGCCCACTGGTTCTCTCTTCTCCTAAAGACCCCATTCCTCTGGGCCTGGAGAGGCTGCTGAATAGGCTGGGGCACTGAAGTGGGAACAAACAGAAAGGAGAAAATAATGTCCACATTTGCTCCCCATCATTCCGGGCTTTGGGCTTCTGCCAACTCTGACCTTTACCAGGGCCCAGTCTGGAGAAGAGCTAGCAGCTTACGGAGGCGCCAAAAGCAGTGCTAACATCCGGGAGCCAGGGAGTTCCAGGCCCTGAGCTGCCACACTTCCTGGGGAGTAAGGGCTCGCCCCTCACAGGTCTTCATGCAGCTGTCTCTGGCTGGGACTGAGCGTGAAAGGCAAGGCCCATGGCTTGACTTTAGGGTTCTGCACTAGAGTCAAGGGGCCCAGTCTAAGGTTACTCGGCCCCCTAACAGCACACCAAAGGCCAGCTCTTGTCTCTGCAGCCTGCCTCCCGTGCAGGGCACTCAGCTTTGAGCCCGCCTCTGCAGCCTGAGTTCCACTCACACTGCCCTGCCTGCTCCTCCAACACTGCCTCCCCGCTGCCTCTGTGCGTGCCTCTTCGCGTGCCTCTTCATGCTTGGTATGTGCAAACCTCCTTCTCTACGCCAACAATCCCTCATCAAATTCCCTGCCCTGCAGGCTCCTGCCTCTGAAAACTGCCCTGTCCCAGCTAGTGGGCTGGCTTCGGTCTTCCAGGATGGCCCCAGGCATACAGCATCCTCTCTAAAGCAGGGTCCTTGATCATCCCCAGACACAGCCTGCTAGCCCCGCAGGGAGGACTGTCGGTCTGCCTGCGCCTCCTCCAGGCAGCTGGTGGTGGCACATAGGTCACCCCTGGTGGAGCCCCACGAGTACGAGTCTCATCCCCTCCGTGTCCCCAGACAGCCTGTTTGAGGGCAGGGCCCACAGGAGACCCTGAGGGGCAGAGAGGAGCTCCTAATTCCTGATCCCATGAGTTCTTCCCTTTAATATCCACCTAACCCATCTGAGTTGATTCAGGCCCAGCCTGTTTGGGGGGAGCAGTTAACCTGCCTTGTTTGGTACCCCTCAATGCCCATCTCCATCCCTACCTGAGTAGAAGAGGGCAGGCAGCTCATTGACAACAGGTGGGTTGAATGTCAAATGCACTTTATTGGGTTCCTGGGCCCTCAAATGCAGCCCTCACCCAGCCGGGGCACCCCCTCCCCTACACCTCCAGTAGCACAGGAAGCAGGGTGGGTGACGTACGCAGGGAAGGGCCTGTTCTGCTCCAAAGGGCCATGGTCTCCCCTCAGCCCCATCCCAACTGCTTAGGAAGACTCCTGGGGTGGGGAAGGGGATGACTGGGCACTGAACACAGAAAGGTGGTTTCAAACCAGCTGAAGCAAGGCAAGGGGCTGTGTGTGGCGCACAACTCCACCAGGCAGGGGAGAGGTAGAAGGGACAATAGCCTTTCTGGAGAGGAGAGAGCTGGGCAGACCGTGGAGCCAGACAGACCCTTTTCCTCAGGCACAGGGAGTGGTGGTCCAACAGTGAAACTTGGTGGGCTGAGACTGGAGGCAGCACTGACAGCCAGAGAGGGCAGCAGCCCAGCTGCCACCCACTGCCCGGAGACATGGGTCACCAGTCCCTCTCAGCTGGCTCTCGGTAGGGTAGGCCTAAGAGGCTGAAGACATCCTTCTCAGTGGGCGTGGGCAGCACACGGCCAGGCCCCACCTTAAGGCCTTGGGTGTCCCGAACCACAGCTGTGCTGAGGGCGTGCTCAGACAAGCTCATGCCCTTGGTCTTGGCCAGAGCCCTCATGGAGCGATTGAAGTGGGCAGAGCCGGTGAAGTAGAGCAGGGCACAGGCAAACTCGCTGTAGGGCACAACGATGATGTCCAGCCGCCGGTGGCGCCGCCCTGGTCCTGGAAGCCGGCATACGCCCAAGTACTTCTGCTGCTGGCCGTTCTCCTCCTGGCTCACCAAGTCGTCTGTTAGGAACCCTGGTTCAACACAGGAGGGTCGCTCAGTGATGGCGAAAGGGAGCCACGCTCAGCGCTACCCCATTGTCCGCTCTTCCCAGCTCACCCATTTATTTTCTGGATGACTGCCAACTCTGGGCCTATCTCCTCATCTGTAAAACAGTAATTCCTCCCCACACGCCTCACAGCATCATCAGGTGAGACAGCTCAACCCACAGGTGTTACCGAGGACTTCTGTGTAGGCACGAAAGGCCTGCTTCCTCCCTTCGCTGAAGTGCTTGGCCACAAGGGAGGTGGGGACTCACAAAGCAATGCCGTCCTGCTTTCTGCCTCCAGACTGCAGCTTTGAAGCTTCGCTCCTGCCCAGCCCTGCCCTGCCCCCTGCCAACGTGGTCACCCAAACATGGCAGTTATACCTTGCTGCCGAAGGTGGTCAAGGAGTGGACTGAAGATGCCCTGGTGAGACCGGCCATCAGGGTGAGTGATTAGCACATCCACATCACCACAGGTGGCCTTCCCCCGTCGGTATGAACCACATGCCACACACAGCAGCCCAGGGTTGAAGGCCTGAGCTGCCTTCCAGACCTGGGAAAGAGCATGAGAGGTTAGAGGCTGTGGGCCTGCAAGGCCTACCTCTCCCCTGGAGGCACAAGGGCCTTCCCAGCCTGACCCAGGAGCCCACAAGTCTAGCTTATGCCCCAAGCCAATCTCTGAGGGAATGAGCCCCAAGCAACAGACGCCAGTGATGTCCCTGGAGAGTGAATGGCTGTTCTCTAGTTTCACTAGGTTAGGAAATAGGAGGGTAGAAAATACACTCTCTACTGCCAGACGTAGCCTGAGGTGAGATACAAGCTCTAAGATCTGATTCTGAGGGAAGCACTCTCTCTCCCACTAGAGCTTTCTAAAAGCAGAAAGGCACCCCTCTCTTGGCCTCTGCCCTAACCCATGTGCCCAGGTCTGTGAAACTCCACTTAGGACACAGAGCCTGGAAGCCCTTGGCCTGGTCTCAGTGGTCCTGGTACAAAAGGATTTGGGGCAAAAGAAAGACTATGTGAGTTGGAACTTGGCTGGCAGGGTGCCGGGCCTAGACCTGGGGGCGAATGGAGCTGTATGACTATGCCCACAGGAAGGGAAAGCAAGCAAAGAGGGATGGGTTGTGGGCCAAAGGCCAGAGCCTTGCTTGGGAGAATGGGGCTTGGTGGGGAGAGAGCTGAGACAGAGGGGACTGACAGCTAAAGGTCCCCTCATGGAAGGGGATAGCCTAGTTTCTACCACACAGACACAGCAGCCTTTCATATGTAGATGATGCTGGCCTCCACCCCAGGACACTGAGATTTCTGGGGTTCTGGAAACCAGCAGACAGAACACCTCAATTCTCCTGACAGGCAGGCTCTGCTAATCCCCTCAACTCCTTCATGAGCCTCCCAAGAGGATAGCAGGAGGCCTGTGATAAATAATCCCATCAAAAAGCCTAAGGCTGGAACCCTTACATAGGGGAGAAGGCCAGGTGGGAAGACTCTTCTGGTCCAGTGGGGGTGGGGAGGCTGGAGCCGTCTCTGTCCCATGGCTGAGTGACAGTGTCGTCACTAGTACCAAGGTCTGCTGGTAGGGAGGCAGGGGGGCCTGTCTATCCAACCTGCAAGGGCCTCCTAGGCCAGCGTCCTAGGAGTAGAGCTCGCAGCTAATTTCAGCTCAGCTGGGCCAGGGTCTCTGTGGGTCTGTCAGACTCCTAGACCAAGTGAGGAAACTCTGCCCATAACAACCAGCCCTTAACCTGACATCAACTGAATAAGTGATATATCTAGTCCTAAATGTCATATTCTATTCTCTCTCTAATGTGGGTTTTACGTGCACTTAACACTACTCTAAATAGAACCTTAATCTTGGCCTAACCTTATTTCAAGGACAACCAAAATCTTAAAAGCATCCAACATGAAAGAAGCAGCCTCGACTCCTGATTAGGCCTCATGGCAACCCTACCAGAGGCCTAGCTTCTCTCTAACCACAGACTTAACCCTAAGGGCACACGTTTCACCACTAACTCCACCTGAACCAGACCTGCGGGGCTCCAGAGGATGCTATATCTGGATAGAGACATAAAATTTTGTACATTTGTACAAATTCTGGAGAGAAAAAGTCTATAGTTTTTATAAGATTCTCAAAAAAGTTTGTGAATTATAAAAACATTAAAAACCTCTGTGCTGGCCCACCCTAACCTAGCCCAGTTCATACCCCAGCACCCTCTAGTAGTGTCCCTACTAGCCCTAGCACTGAGCCAATCCTAACAGCATTCTAGCATCCCAACCCCTAACTGACTGCCAAGATGCCACCCCAGAGAGACGGTGCTGTAGCCGGCCTCTCCCAAACCCGCCCTCCACTGGACTCACAGCTTCAGACTCAACTTGCTCTTTCACCACTGTTTCCAACCCCTGGTGACCCAGTTTCCTCTGCCTGTGGCCTCCCCAACTAAGGTGCCCTCACTTCGAGCGAGGCCTGGAAGTTAAGTGGGGCCTGGCTCTCCTCATGTTCTGCCACGCATGCTTACTGTCTGCTGGATCTCCGTAGCCTCCTCCCTTGGCATGCGTTCCAGGAAATCACTGTAATGCTTCAGGCCAACGGCCTGTTGGGTAGTCAGGGAAGCCTGGTTGCGGATGTCTTCTAAGGTCCGGAAGCCCTGGAAAAAGTCGGTTTGGGAGGCTGTGAGGACCCAGGACAGTGATGAAACAGTACATGAGTACACAAGGCTCCCATTGCCCACACTCTAAAGGTGGTCTGAGGATCAACCCCTGCGTGACTGAATCTGCAAGCGGTGGGACATGGGAAAGGAAGGGGTGGAGGAGAGCACACCCTAAATCAGCTCTGCCAGAACCCTAAAACACGGGAACACTGGATACTGAGCCCTGAGGCCTGCTCTCTTAGGAAGGCCCTTGCTAGTCTAGGGACAGAAACATACTTCCTGTCTCTGCTTATGCCACAAATTAATGCCCCACAGAAACCAAAGGATACTGGCTTTGGGAGCCAAAAGAGGGGTCGGCATGACACCTGACCCCCACGAAAACCTGGTCTCCCTGTAATCTGGGTTTGTCCCCATCAGAGTACGAGATATGTGAACTGGGGTGGAAGTTTCAAGACACAGTAAAACTGAAAGGGAGGCCACGACAGGCTGGCACCTGATGGTACCACATCTGGGCAGTCTTGGTTCCAGCCCCCCAGATGTTGGAGAAGAGCTCCAGGACAGGCACGCTCTCGCTGATGTGGTCTAGCTTCCGCAGATGTCCACTCTCCAGGATCTCTTCAATTTTCTCAGCCATCCGCTTCCCAATTCCAGGGATGTGGCAGGCTTCCTAGAGGAGGAGGCAGAGGCAGGAAGCTCAGAAGGCGGGAATGCAGAGCCAGCAGTGGGAGGCTGGCTCCTTCAGCAGGGTCTGGATAAAGGCCCACCTGGCTCTCAGTGATGACGGCTGGGTAAGCCTGGGCGTGGCTGAAGATTCGAAGTCTGAATGGGGTAAGTCTAACTTACCTTTTGGTTCCCAGAGAGATGGAGATTAACTCGGGAAAAGGGAGAAGGCACCACTGCTAGTCCCAGACACCACTGTCGCCGCCACCATCACGGCTGACACTGACTGAAGCCCTCCTGGACAGGAGCTCCCGCTCTGCAGGGCATCTCATTTAGCCCTCAGGAAGAATAGTAACTATTCTTCCTCCCCTTTCAGTGGTGAGAAAACGGAGGCTCAAAGTAATTTGCCTAAAGTCACACAGTGAGTGAATGATGGAAGAAGAATTCAAACCCTGCTCTGCTGGCCTCAGCTTTTTATTACAGAAAAAACAGAAAAGTAGAGAGAATAGTACAATGAACGTGAGTGCTGCAACGACTGTAAATTTTGCGATCCTCTTTCATCAATCTCTCCATTTGTACAAATCCCAAACATCATAAAACCTAAACCACACCTGACCTGGTATGTCCATCAGCTTCTGGTGAGTCAGGAGTCCCCCACCCCAGGCCCCCACATGCCCTGCCCCAGCCCCCAGTACCTGGTAGGAGGTGACTGCCTTGTGGAAGCTCTTGAGGGCATTGATGGCCTTGGCGTAGCTCAGGGCCCTCCACTTGTCTCCCTGCACACTGTAGGCTTTGGCCAGCACCTCCAGCTTCTCCGTAATATGGGAGTTGTGGTTGGTGGCTTTCTGACTGGAAGGCTGTGCACAGACCCACTTATTCAGGCCCTCAGGAGCTGAGCTAGGCTCACCGTCTCCCTCAGGTGGAGTGGGGTAGTGGCCGCTGATCAGGGCTTCCAGATCAGCTGCGTTAACCTGGGCCTCCTCCCCATCACTGGTTTCATCATCAAGGCCAGGCTTGAGGTGAGAAAGAAGGAAAAGAAAATAAGTCTCTGCCCTCTATGAGGAGGGCACCTCAAAGGAGCTGAGTCAGACCAATGAATGAGTCTGGATTTTCTGTATCAGACATGCATCTATTTAATTGTGGTGCTATGTTCCATGTCCCTTATACCCGTGGCCAGCCCTAGAATCCCCAGTGGTACAGGTAGATCTGGCCTGGACAAATGCATGGATGATGAATGTTGGGAAGACCTAAAAGGCTTCACAATAAAGAGACACTTCCTTTCTCAGACCTGGAACTCTGAAGAGCCACCTGTTTCTGTGATCTAGTTTCCAGGGAAGGAAGTTGTGGGGACCGGGTGGCTCCTGACCTGGGGTAGGGTGCTTGAAGTCTCTTCTGCCCTCTGGGGAGGAGATACAGGTCTGGTGGGAAGAGTGGGGGAAGAGCAGGCTGTTGTTAGCAAAGCCTCAGGGGCTCCAGGAGAAGAGACTTGGTCTCCTTTGCTGAGCTGTGGCTGGTCCAAATACCTGCAGGGATGGTGATGGGAGGTGAAGACACCAAAGGTCTCAACTTGTCCCTGCTACCAATCCTTCTCTAACTCTGAAATTTTGGTTTTCCAGTGTGTGCAATTAAGACATGACCAAAAAGAGAGTCCAAGGTGTTGCCAAAAAACATCTGAGGAAAGACGGGGACTAGCCCACCTGTCTGGGATGAAGATGCTGAATCCCGCTGTGTCCACCAGCCTTCTCTCCTGTAGGCACAAGCTCAGCCAGGCTGACTTGACCAGCTGAGCCCCTGGGGGCAGCCGGGGCAGTCTAAGGAGGCGGAGGGCTCGCTCATAGTCCATGCCTTCATCCACCACAATGTGAGTAATTCCTGGGGCCTCAGCAGAGCATAACTGGCCACCGTGCTGGACAATCTGTTTCTCAAAGAGTTCTGCCCGGGCTCGCCCTATGCCAGTGGGCACAACATAGGCCTGCAGGGAACTCAGCCACCCTGTGGAGGGGACATCCAGATGCCTAATGTCATTACTTTCAGATATGATCCGAATGAACCTGTCCCCTATCTCCAGTCAATCATTTTCCCTCCATCCAGCCTACCTGCCTTCTGGGGACCTACCCAAAGCAGACTGCTAATTACCTCATAGGTCATCATGTGACTGTAAGAAGCAAGGATTTTAATATATCCTGTTTTCTGGGATACCCTAGAACAGAGCCTTGCACACTATAGGTCCCTGTCATCACTTGACTTGTTCATTTATTCTTTAAACAAATATTACTAAGCATCTACTGTATACCAGGCACAAGGCCATTACAGGCCTCACAGTCACTAAACTCACTCCCCAGCCCCTGCCCTGCCTTGCTAGCTGAGTCTTCATCATCTGTTTATTAATCTGGCTATACAATAACATAATTCTGGGGACCTGAGGGCAGGTCTGCTCACCTCCTGCTGCTGCTCCTTCTCTTTTGGGAATCTTTGCAGATGCTTTCGGAGATGAATTGGCATCTATTTTCTTCCGCTTGGGAAATGTCTTCAAGACACCTCTGAGGTCCATTCAGTTATAACTGGACCCTGGCCTGAGGGTTGATCAGGCAGCTGTCATATGACTAATGAGATCTGAAGTTCCTCCCAAGCCCTTGCCTATGTAAGTGGAATCTCCACTGACCAGGTTTTGGGCGCAGTAACTAGTTCCCAGGGGCCTCTCAAAACCCAGCTGAATTTCGGTGGTTTAGCCTTGTACTACACTCTCCCCTTTTCAAGGGGAAAAGTGTGGGCAGGTTCTACTGGGAGAACTTTTGAGGGCGAGGGAAGGTCCTTCAGAGGGGCTGCTCTGAGGACTCAGAGCAGCTGACTCAGTGCAACTGCGCTGCTGCATCATACTTCCAAAGGCTTTATCAAGAGAAGGGAATTACCAAGTTAGGACAGAGCTACATCTTCAGAGTGGACTTGGGCTTTCAACTTGGGGCGTGGGGTGGCTGCACACAAACCCTACATAATCTCTACCCCCATCACAAACCCGCAGAGGAAAACGTGGGGTGGGGAAGCAGGTGTTTGGGAGGCAGGAGAAAAGCCCCTGCACCTGTCGTAGTCACGCGCCTTGGACTGGGCAGGGGAGGAGGGTTCCGCCCCGGCCCAGGAGATGGGGCACGAACACAGGTGCGGGGCGCCTTCCGGGACAGAGCGAGCCTCGGTCTCTCAGCTGGGAGATGCAGAAGACTTCGGCAGGTGTGCGGCAGCCGGCGCGGACGCAGCTGGCGTGTGCCAAGGGCTCCCAGCTGCAGGCCAGAAGAGGGCTGGAGAGTTCGGACCCGGCCCCAAGGGTCCCCACCCTACTCCCCGGATTCGGTCCGGGCGGGGCCCCTCGAGAGCCGTAGGGGCCACGAGGGGTAGGAGTAAACTACTTACAGGGGCAGCCAATGAGCGTGGACGACCGGCGAGTGCGGGGGCTCAGGGAGTGGGAAAGGGCAGGTGCCCAGGACACCTCTTCCGGGTCAGCCGGAAGTGACCCTAGGCGGAACGGTTGCCATGGCAGCGGCCGGGCGCGCGGCTGGGCGGAGGGAAGATGGCGGTGACCGGCTGGCTAGAGAGTCTGCGGGCCGCGGAGAAGACGGCGCTGCTGCAGGATGGTAACTCGAGGGCCCCGCGAGCTCCCTCGCCCTACCCCTACCCCAGGTCAGGCCCTCGGCGTTGGCGCCTCAAAGCTGGGACGGCAGAGGTGGAAGGGTTGTGGCCGCTAGCCCGACCGGGTCCTGCATTTGCAGATGAGGAAACTGAGGCCCAGAGAGATGACGTGACGCGAACACGCGTTTCTGAACATCCTCTACACCACTTGCACCTGAGTTGTTACTAATAATTCCTTTCACCTTCCCTATGTTATTTGCTTCACGCAAAATAAGAGGTTTTTAATTTCCCACCCCACTTTACAGAAAAGGAGACGGAAACCCCAGGATTTAGACCAGCATCAGCTACCCCGGGCAGTCATGTACACCTGGACCCCATAAACCTCAGTCCGGGCTGGTGTCATGAAACGTGGGGACACTGGATCTAGTTCCGACCCCGTCACCGGCGGCTCTCTGGTCCCCCTACTTATTTGGACCTCAACTTTCCTCATCCGCAAGACGGGGTGGGCGGGGCGGTTACCTTTGTTATCTTGAGGTCCTTTCCAGCTATTATGTTTGTAAGCGAATCTCCAAATGTTTCCTGGGTCTTTAGCGGAGAGCAAGAGCTCTGGGTGTGCCAGGAGTCAGTCCTCTTCTCCAAGGATTGACAGGTGTAGGGCCCTGGTATTTCGGGGCCCCTTCTTGGACCCACTTGGTAGCCTGAATAAGTTAGGTATGAATTCTTGTAGCTCTGGAGATACCATGTAGGCACTCAAATATACACTCAGAGTCTAGTCAGGGACGTACGGAAATTAAAACTACAGTAATTTGTTCATTTTGCAACTTTTAGGGAAGCTTTATCCATGTGCCAAACTGTACTAGAGCAGATAAAAGGAAAGACATATATCTCAGGAGTTCACGGAGTGGTCAGGAAAAAGACTGGCAAATAAATGATAGTATATTCATCAGAGTTGGAAATCTGTAAAAATGCTGTAAGAATGAAGATGGAAATGAATATCTCCTTGAAGGAAGATCTGACAGAAAAGGTTAAGTTGATGGGTCTTAAAGATTTAACAGGTGTTTGCTAAGAGGAGAAATGGGGGTGATTAGCCCAGGAAAAATGTCCTCCTGTAAAGGTGAGAAAGGTATACAAGAACATGTCTGATTACCAGGGAAATAACAAGACAGTGTAGTTGAAGCTTTCACCCACTCAAAACAACCCTCCACACTGTCAGATGCGAGAATGCAAGGGTGAATGAAAGTTCTCAACAAACAATAAGGGGAAAATGGTGGGAAATGAAGCAGGATTTCAGATAAATTGGGGTATGTTGAATACATTGCTTTTGCCAAGCTACAGATTTTGGACATTTTCTCACCAGACGGTTTTGTCTGTTTGTTCGGTTTGGTTTTCTTTTAAGTATAATTGACATGCATTATTTTAGTTTTAAGTGTACAACATTTGTATGTATGTTGTAAAGTGATCATCACAGTACGTTTTTGTTACAAAAAAATGCAGTTTACCATTTTAAGCATTCAGCGTTGTGGCATTAAGTACTTTCACGTTGTAATGCAATCATCACCAGCCTTCTCCAGAACCTTTTCATTTTCTTCAGCTGAAGCATTCTACCCATTAAACACCAACTCTGTATTCCTCCCCAACCCTGCTACTTTCTGTCTTTATGATTTTGGTTACTGTAGGAATTTTCTATAAGCCGATCATACAATAGTTATACTTTTGTGACTGGCTTATTTCACTTCATATAATGTCATCAAGACATTTCCCTCCTTTTTAAGGCCAAACAACATTTCATTGTATGTCAGTACCACATTTCATTTATTCATTCATCTGTCAGTTCCTTTTTAGCTATTGTGAATAATGCTGCTATGAAACTGAGTGTTCAAGTATCTGTTTGAGTCCCTGCTTTGGTCACAGACCAATGTTTAAACAAGTGATTTCATTAGTCAGGATTTTAAGTTCTTCCATCAGCTGTATCACAAACCAATGTTACTGTTATCCCCCCCCCCAAACCTTCCCAAATATTAAGTACATTGATATGTCTTGTCAAACATTTCCTGTAGATTTACCCTCCTGGTGTGTGTGTTGGGGGTGGGGGGGAGAGGTGGAAAGACTCTTTTCAGCAAGAATCACTGCTCTTGGTAATAACAACCTAGTATACCTTTAACTTTTCATTTTAATATATAGATACTTGTTATTTATCTTTAAACAAAGTTAAAAGGCAACTGAAACAAAATATTTTCCCCATCTATGACACATGATTAATAAATACAAAGTCTAGTCAAATTAGTAAAACAGGATTAATATACAAATAAAACCGGCTAAGGCCTGCACAGGTGACTCACTGGTACACCCGTGGACAGTCTGGCTTCATTAGCATATTCGAAGCCCGGGGTATTACCCTAGTGTGGTTATGTGAGCATGGACTCTGTCTTAAGGGTGGGCCTGCCATTTCCTAGCTTTATGATCTTGGACAACTGTGTGACCTTTAAGCCTCAGTTTTTCTCACTTATAATGGGGGCATCTAGGGTTATTGTAAGAGTTAAATGCAATAAAATACATTAAATACTGATTAGTAATGCTAAGTTACTGATAGTAATTGTTTGTACTACCTGTCTTTTCTACTAGATAGAAGGGGTTTGTTGTTCCTCCTCCTCCTACTTTCTTTCAGTCAGTAATGATCAGTTCCTAACACAGGCCAGGAACTATGCTTGGGGTTAGGGAAATCATAAGCAGGAAGAATAAACCCCTCTTATCTAGTAGAAAAGACAGGTAGTACAAATAGAGAAAAATTAAAAACCACGGTAAATGCCATGAAGAAAACCCCTGGACACTGACATTGTGTGTCGAGAAATAGCACAGAGATGTGCAGAAGATGGCAGGGCGACTCGGGAAGCAGAGTCAGAAAACCCAGTCAGTGTCCTGAGCACAGAGGCTTGGCTTTAGGAAGTAGGAAGGAAAAGATCAGTATGGGGCCTCCTTCATGACACAAGGAGTTAAGCGCAGCACTATGAAGCTGTCTGCAGCTACTGCAGCACCAGTTCGATCCCTGGCCAGGGTGACCCACATGGCGCAGCTGACCTCTCCTGTCTAGCCCACGTGACGCGCTTCAGCAGTGTGCTTCGTCAGTCTGCCTGTTCTGCTCCCCACACTCTCTCTGGTGAATCCTCTCACCCCACTGCACCTGTGGCCTACACACCAGCTCTTGTATGCATAAATAAATTAATTTTTTAAAAGATCAATATTATACTATTCCTGGGGAGACAGAGGCCTTAGAAAGTAGCACACTGCGCTAAATGCTGCCCTGTGGGTATGACTAGAGCTGTGAGGAGGCCCAAGCAGGGAGGTGACGCACTCCGCCAAGATGGCAGGGTGTGATAGTTGAGGAGGACTGCCCAGTGGAAGTGACATTTGAGCTAGGTTTTGAAGGAGGAAAAGATGGGAAGGAGCCGAAGGGCTGTCTTTGTGGAGCAAACACAGTTCAGAGCAAGTTTCAGAGGGGAGTCCCCAGATATGCCCTAAAGTAGTAGTGGGCAGTGGTTGGCAGGGTCTTGTGGAAGACGGTGGGAGGGATTCTCTGCGCCCGAGGCTTTTGGTGTTGCCCTTCTAGAACTCCGTGATCTGCAAAGTGGAAGACGAGAGGAGGTTTTGAGGAGGCCCTCTGCTTTGTGTGCAGGGAGAAGGAAGGTCCACTATTTGTTCCCAGATGGGAAGGAGATGGCCGAAGAATACGATGAGAAGACAAGTGAACTACTTGGTAAGTGATGGGTGACCTAGGCACAGGTGAATGTGCCCAGCCAAGGCTTGAGGGAGGACCCAGCACCACATGCTGAAACTAGGGGAAACTGTTGCCCTCAAATGATCCAGTCTGAGCTCAGGGTTGACATTAGAAGTGGAACGGAAGTCCACTTGACCCACACCCCGCCACCCCCACTATGGGGGAGATGGGGCTATCGAGGACCCCTCAGAAACTACCTTCCGAGAGAAGGTGGAACTGGAATGAGCCCTGCAGGCCGCGCGTGGGCAAGCCCGGCTGTCCCTTCCGTTTGCTTTGTCTTTTGCTTTCCAAAGCCTCACCATGGTCAAGCTGTGGCAGAGGCAGCACTATTAAATATGACCCTCACCTTGGAGAATGGATGCCTCCAGGAGAGAAGGGGGAGAAGTGGCGATCCTGCAGCTTTGTCATTTTCATTCCTGCAGCGCTTTTCCTCTAAAACAGGCTCATGAGTAGGGGCTACGGCTCAAGTTTCTGGGGATTATTTGATTTGCCCGCTCTCTGTTTCCAGGTATGCACAGCGGCATTAACCGGCTTCCCAGAGCTGGGTGGCTGGTTCTGTGACCCAAGGCCTGCGGCTGTCAGCAGTGGGAGTCGGTCTTTTATTAAGTTCCAGCTGAAATGCTAAGACCAGTGATGGAGTCGGGCTGGGTTATTTTCTTGTCATTATTCTTGACTTTAATTTCTTCCTGGGCCTGATCGACAGGTAGTATTGGTAAGGGAATTTCTTTTTCCCCTTTTCTGACAGCTCATAAATGTCTAGAACCGACAACATGGATTACACTGGTTTGCATTCTCTTAGTCTCTAGTCTTAAAACGTGTGTCCTGCGCATGTTCAGTTACAGAGCGAGGTGTTGATCCCTCCTTATTATGAGCTGCTTGGACTCCAGTCCCAATTGGCTTAGTCCGGTGCTATTAAAAATCTTGATGTGTTTAGCATATGATACTGACTTGGTGGAAACCAACACAGTAGTAATATCCTCACAATGCATGGTAATTTATAGAGTTCCCAGGGGGTGACAGCCTTGGAATGCCTAACAGGGCAGACTTATAAAAGCAGGGTCACGTGAGCTAACCACCATCACCAGGCCCCAGGCTCCCGCAGCTCCTCTCCTCAGCTCTAGTGTCACCTCCCTCCCGCGCAAATAAAACAGCCCTAGCAGCCGTGGCTGTGAAAACAAACAAACAAATGAAACCCGGGCCTCTTAAGTTGTGCTTGGACATGAAACTGAAATGAAAAACAAGTCCAGTTTCCTCCCTTTGTAGTGCTCCACCGTCAGTGGTGACTTTCCCTCTTGCAGGTGCCTACAGATAGTGGCCTCCACGCTCTTTTTTTAAGAGCAGAAATGAGGGTTCGTAGGAGAATACTGTGGCTAAAGCCTACCGAGTACTGGTCTCGGGACCATGACTTTCCTTGGGCAGCATGTAAGAGCTTTGCAAGAATCATCTCATTTAATTACCCTTGTTGTACCCTAGGACTTGGTACAAAAGCCCCAAGAGGCTACGCACCTTGCTCAGAATCTCATAGCTGCTTCGTTTTTCTGGCGGGACGTTGGCTGTCTTGCGATGGAGAGCCCATATAGTCTGCGAGAGCATGCCGTGGGGGGTGGGGAAATTGAGTCCTGCTTCCTTTTCTCACTAAATTTGCTCTGCCCAGAATGAGCTAAGCAGGGGCTGGCGGAGTAGGACCGAGCTGGCAGACGGAACACCCACTCAAACCCCTGGGCCCGGAGCAGCAGCTGCTTTTCTCGCCCATCTCCACCACCCCACCCCCACCAGCTGCCTTGCAGAATACTGTGCATTACTGATTTTTCAAATATAAATAATGCCTGGACCTGAGTTGACTTCTGCTTGTGCCTTCTACGAAATAAAATCTAGGCAGGGTTACTATGGCAGTGAGTGGAAATAATTTCCAACTCTCCAGCTAATTATACAAGTTTGAGAATGAGCCAAACTGGCTTTCTTCTGGAAAAACTCAAAGTAACTCAGAGCCACATCGCCAGTGGCGAATGTGCGCAGGGCAGAGCTCTTGCAGCCGTGTTAGTAAGCGAAGCGGTGTCATATTTTTTGCGTACCCTCTCAGTGCTGTTCGTTCCCACCCCCACAACGATGCTGTCTGTATTCATGGAGGAAGAAACTGAAGGGCCCCCTAACAATGATCGGAACATCAAACCAGCCCCAGAAGAACTCAGCGTGTCCGGGGCAGAGGCTGCAGGGAAGGCCGGCCCTTGCGATTACATTCGGATTAGCGGCTTAATCTGCTTTGGTATTTGACCGCCAGCCTAACCACCCCGGGCTGCATTTGGAGGATATTGAGCACTTTCATCCCCAAGCACTTCACCAGCTTTATAAATGACCCACTCGATTCCCCTCAGCCTCCTCAGGGATGGGACGTGGCAGCTGTTTAATAGCCACACAGCAATGCTGCAGTGTTTTAGGGCAGAAAAGAAGGATCCTGCATCCAGTTTAAACTGCAGGGAGTATTTAGGAGAGGGGAATGTAATTATCCACATTGGAAGTGGGCCAGGACTGGGAGCTTTGGGGAAAGAGGCCTTGAGGACCTCCACTTTGCAGCCCACCTGAAGGATGGGGCCCCCTCTCAGCGGTCTGGAACATCAGCCTGCTGACTTAGGAAAAGCCCCCAGGCACAGCCACCTTCATAGACCCACCAGGCCCGTACCGGGTCACTGAGTCTGCGTCCCAAGGCCTGGCTTTGGCTCAGCCTTGAAGATGCGAGGCAGCCATGAGGGAGCTGCCTCGCATACGCCACTTTGGCCTGACATACAATCACATCAGAGTGACAGCAGGTGGAGATGGTCCTCTCTTGCCGCAGGAGCTGTCCTTGAGTTCAGAACAAAGGACAAGACAGACATGACAGTGTCTCTGCACATGGGCACTCACACCCATGTATGTGGGAAAACAGCAAGGCTTTCACCAAAACCTTACTTTGGGTCTTACAGGGAAGTGAGGAGGGAGACCTCCGCCTCCACCTTGACAAGGAATTTAATTTCCCAAGGTGTCTTAAAAATAAAAGGCGATGAGAAAGCCAAGGAGCCAAGTTCCTGTGGCCGGAGTGACTGTTCAGGTCAGCAGTGAGGACACCAGTGGCAGACCTTGCTCCTTAATATGCTCCTCGGGAAGCTTTCTCTACAAAACCCAAATCCCTCCGGAGAAAAGAGCTGACAGAAGCCCTGAGGTCAGTGTCTCCTCTCCTGGCCACACTGGTGTTGGCTTGAGGACACCCTTCCTCGACCCGCATTACAGCAGCGCCCTGCCCTACCTAGTGAGGTGTCCTCATAATGCCATTTTTAAAAATATATATATATTTATTTATGAATACAGAACCAGGGTACAGGCCAGAGGTGCAGGGGCAGTGAGAGGATTCACCAGAGACAGAGTGGGGAGCAGAACAGGCAGACTGACAAAGTACACTGCCAAGGGGAGCAGTGGGTGGGTCGGGAGAGGTCTGCCGTGCCATGTGGTCACCTCTGGGGCAGGCTGGAATCGAACTCATGCAGAAATGGCTTTAGCTTCTCAGTGCTTTAACCCGCTGCGCCACCAGGGAGGGCCCATAATGCCATTTTTAGATCAGCAAAGCTCTTCTTTAAATAGGGGATAAAATATAAAAAAGAGAACTACTTACAAAAGAATAGAAAACTTCATAAATGTTTATTGAATATAATTTAACCTTTTATTAACGACTCAAATTCTGAACTTGAATTTCAGAGACCTGAATTTTATTTTTGTAAATATTTATGTACATAAGAATTGGATTGTAGGCCAGAGGTAATGGTGGAGAAAGGAGTGAGAGGATTCATTGGAGACAAGAGTGGGGATCAGAACTGGCAGCTGTACTGAACCCCCTGCTGAGTGTGCCTGGGGGTCAGCCCCTAGTCCAGGTGACCCCCTGCAGTGGCTGCGGATGGCTTCATAGACTTTAACCCCTGCGCCACCAGGGAGGCCTGAGACCTGAATTTTAGCGTAGCTTTTGCAAGTTAGTTTCTCTGAACATCAGAAATCCTTCATACTTTGTCCTCTGGAGAACAGTGCAAGGGTGAAGGAGAGCAGGCAGAGAAGTACTATTTCTCGCTTTAAAAGGACAGGCCCAGGGGCAGATGATTTTCTAAAGGATCCACCTCAGAATCTGGGGTCACTTACCTGGCAGCCCTGTCAGGCTTGTCTGCCCTTCGACCCACGACTCAACGTGCTTCCTGGCTGAGCTGCTGCGCCCACCCCCCGCCCCACCATGAGCTGTGCCCTTGTGCTGTTATCAGTATGCCTGGGAAAAATTAATTTCCTGTGCATTTTACACACACTCTTTATGCACAGTCTGAGTGAGAATCTGGGAGCCATCTTTCCTACAGCAGAGAATGAGGTGCTGGGGCTTGTCGCAATGAGCTGCAGCTTGGAGGCATTTGTCAGTTCTGCCTTTGTGGCTCTGACAGAGGCCCCCAGAAGGCCAGCTTCCAGGTGAGCTAGGTATTACATGAGTAGACTTGGACATACTCCCAGTCACAGTCCATTCACTTAAGAGAGAAGAAGTATTTGAGGGGGAAAGTTGCCTATAAAGCATATCTCCAAGTTTTACTCTTCCTTATTAATTTTCATTATAAACTTGGAAATGTGCTTCTAGGGAGAATTTTGGCCCTAAGACATAATAAAACCATACTGCAGAATGCAGCAGACCTTTAAAAAGCACATATTCAAGGGAAAATTCTAATCTTACGGCACTCTTCTGTGTTTAGCTTGTGTGCAGAGGGAGTCTGGGCCTGATTCCTCAGTCTCACGGAAGCCTGTGGGAGGCAGGCTGCAGCTGCCTGCCCGGGCAGGACCGAGGCCCTTGTGTGACTCCTTACAGCAGCAGCAGGAAGGCTGCCCCTGGCTTCCCAGGCTGGTGACCCCAAAGCAGAGGGAAGGGGAAGGACCCCGGGAGGGGAGGGTCCCTATGGTGGGGGGGCAGGAGAGAGAACCTCTGCAGTGATGACCTGTACCAGGACAGCAGTTGATGCCTCAGGGCTGAGGGGGCCCTGAAAATCCTTGTGAGGGCTTTAGGTAATATCCTGAGCTAGTTTTTTTTTAGTGATTTTCATAATGTATGTGCCTTACTTGCAAAAAAAAAGTCTTATACAGGTATTTGAATTGTAAAGCAAGGTAAAATGGAGATATTTGCATTATAAAAAGATGGTCCCATTTGGGAAAAAAATCATATAAGCTTTTCTATAAATATTTCATTTAAAATGTATGTGCCTAAGTTTGTTTAGATACAGTTTGGGGCTGTTGTTTTAAGCGAGGTATAGAGGTATACCTGAGGTGAATATGTAGACTTGATGAATCATGAGACAAAGCTACCTGTCAGCATTCACTGTCTTAATTCATTTTTCCTTTGTACGTTTTTAGAAGGAAAAAGTGATGTCAGCTCTCACTTTCGGGACCCAGATTTTCTCCCTTACACGTAACTGCCCTTTTACTAGCCGCCGCCTCCCCTTGCTCACAGCCAGCCCTTTCAGCCCTGTTGCCCGGCACTGGCGTGGGCGTTACAGGTAGCCCAACAGTCCACGCTGCAGGGCTTTGAGGTTGTGTGGTCCCTGCACAGATGGATCCAGCCCATGTAAAGGCCTTTGCTACTGTTTGCTCCTGTTTGCTCCCACTTTTATCCTGTTCTTACAGGATGTGACGTTGACAATTCATCAGAAAAGAGCAGAGCGCCTTTCTTCCCCATAACCCCATTGTATCCTTCTCTCCCCAGTGAGAAAGTGGCGGTTGAAAAGTGCCCTAGGAGCCTTGGGCCAGTGGCAGGTCGAGGTGGGAGAGCCAGCGCCCCCTGGAGCAGGGAGCCTGGGGTCTGAGCTCATCAAGGAAAGCAACGCCAATGTGAGTGTCCGGAGGCAGCGGGTGGGAGTGGATTGACCTCGAGGGCCATGACCCTTTTTCCTGCTTAACACTAGTGTGCCCACCTGCAGAGATACGTGTTTGGATGAGACCCAGGGGATTTGGCCATCCCGGGGCGAGGGTGCCAGACCCGGAGTGCCCCAGCCATAGCACCATTGGAGGGGTGCTGCAGGGAAGAGCTGAGGACTTTCCACTTTGCCCTGGGTCAAGCTTTGCAGAATGGGTGTCCTGCCACCCTACCTTCCCCTCCCTCCAAGAACACAGTTGGATTTGTCTTGTAGCCCATCTTCATGCGGAAGGACACCAAGATGAGTTTCCAGTGGCGGATTCGAAATCTTCCCTACCCTAAGGAGGTCTATAGTGTCTGTGTGGACCAGATGGAGCGCTGTGTTGTTGTCAGAACAATGAACAAAAAGTAAGTAGCATGGTAGGCTCTGCCTGCCTGTGCGGGCAAGGTGGGGAACAGGGTTGGACCCAGGGTTCAGGCTCCGTCTGCTTCCTACCCCAGGGGCAGAGAGGCCTCCTCCAGCCGTAAGCAGGAGGAAAGCAGGACTAAAACTCGAGGACACAGGTAACAGAGGGCTACCTCTCAGGACCGGCATGAATGACGGAATTGTTTCCATGGGGCTGGGAAGTTTGAACAATGAGTGTCTGGTCTGGTGCCTGGCATATACCAGGACTTGCTTAATTTTTGCTAGATGAATGGAGAGATGAGTGAGGGGATCTCCTGGCTATGATCTTCTGTGGTTCTGTTGTAAGGCTTTGTGACCTTGGAGTACCAGCTTGAGCCATTCTGTGGCAAACTGGACCTGGTGTGAGCCTGGTCAGAGTAAGCAGGGAGACAGGGCCTGGGAACTGCCTCTCTGAGGTGGCAATTACAGGACTTAAAACAGCCCCTGGAGCAGCAAACCTGATCCCGGCCCGCTCCCCCCCCCCAAAAGGGACAGTGGGCAGCTGCTTTGGCTTCCTGTGAGTCTTTTGCATTGTTTGAAAAGGGAAGCTCAACTTTCCTTTGCTCCTCTCCTTGTGGGGTGCTAGGGGACAGGCAAAATGTGACGTGAACTGAAGGTGACCAAGGTGGAGATTTGATCCAGACAGGGATGTTTCTGAGCAGGCCAACTGGGAAATGCCTTGATCCCATTTGGATTTCTGGAGCACTGGCTGATCCCAGGTGACGAGAAGAGCTGCGTAATAATACATCGCTCTCGACCTGGGACCAGCTCATGGTGCTCAGGCCGCTGCGTTACTGGCCCACGGGTGTGGAGCCACCCAGTGTGCCTCACGGAGCAGTCGGCACAGCCCCACGGGCTCGCTCATCCACTGCTTTCCACCCGCTCATTGGACCCAACTCTTTGTCCATCTTCTCAAATATTGGGGCATCGATTTCCCCTTCCACTTCCCTCAGGCCCGTGAGGCCCACAGGGAACCAGTGTGGCTCCCAGGACCGACCCCCCATTGCAGCCCTGAGTCCCACCTTCCTCTTGTGACCCCCACATCCTATCACTTTGACAGGGTTAAGGGGACAGGGAAGAGTAGAGATGAATGAATTAATTTTAGGATTATTGCTGTACATGCAGCCAGCAGCCCCTGCAGTGGGCCTTGTCTATAAATATAAAGTCATAATAATAAGGGTTTGCGTTTATAAAGCACTTTGAAGCCCTCCGATAAAAGGCAGTTTATTCCCGTTATTGTTCTCATCATTAACAGGAGTCAGTGCCTAAAGTGGAATTTAGCAATTTCAGACAACAGAGAAATTGCCTTTAGGAAAACAAACTCCATGCTTCAGCAAGCATTCCCTGGCGTAGGCCGTAGGTCCAAACTGGGAACAAAAGTGCTTCTGATAGCACTTGAATCTGCAGCCCAGCAGTTTGTTGAGCTGGCTGCTGCCTCCCTTTCGTCCCCCAGAGGTCACTGTCGAATACAGACATCAGGCAGAAATGTGATTACCCAGGAGAGGAGAACTGCTCGCTAGCTCACCAAAACTCATCTGAGGGCCGACCGCTGGGGCTCCCTGCCCGGCCCGCATCCAGCCATAGGTGGCGCTCTTGGCCAGGAGCTCTGGCTGGAGGCCCTCTCCAGCACCCACCCAACACACCGGAGACATTTTTGAACTCTGGGTGAGGCAAAGTGGGATGGGAGGAATGCTCTGGGAAGAGGATCCCCACAGAGGGGAGAGGAGCGTGTCAGGCCGACTCTGGAGCCCACGCAGCACCCACTGGTCCAGTGCGGCTCAGCCCAGCTCTCCTGGGTCCCTCCCAGGAGCCGGTCTGAGGGGCTGCTAAGTCCTTACCTAGCTCTCTCCTGAGCTCAGCGGATGCCACTTTCTGCCTGGAGTAGCAATGTGTTTTTTTTTTTTTTCTCTCAAAGATTTATTTATTTATGCATACAGAACTGGGGTACAAGCCAGAGGTGAGGGGCAATGAGAAGATTCGCCAGAGACAGAGGGAGGAGCAGAACAGGCAGATCAACAAAGCACATTGCTGAGGGGAACAGCGGGTGGGTGAGGAGAGGTCTGCTGTGCCATGTCGGTTCCTTCGGGGCCGGGGACAGAACTCACGCTGAAGTGGCTTTAGCTTCTCAGTGCTGTGTTAACCTGCTGCGCCACCAGGGAGGGCCCAGCAATGTCTTCTATACCTCCCTGCCTCTGGCTGAACTGGGATACTTTTAAAATCCATTTTCTGATTATCCTTCTGTCAAAGGTAGCTAGGTCCACATTTACATGTTAACGATAACACTTACGTGGGTGTACCTATCAGGTCAGCATGGCTGACCGATGTGCTGAAGGGACAGTGATACTTTCCAGGCCCAGGGACCTGCAATTTCCACCACATCACGACATCTCCCTCTGATTTGGCTTGTCCCTTCACCTGGAAGTTGTGTGCAGTTCTAGTATGTGGCACATGGCTGCGAATAAGCGAGTGTTCCTTTCTCCCTCCCTGGAAGAAGAGTTGAGTTGGCCACTTTTCTTGAGGGAATTGTTGCTACTGTGTACTGTCCTCAGGTACTAGAGAAGGACGAATCAGAGGAAGAAAGTACTTTTCGAAGACCTTAGTTGGGGTCATTCCTGATTCCTTCCTGATAGTGTGTGTGTGCAGCAAGGAAGTTCCTCCCCTCAGCCTAGAAGCCGGCAGCGGGCAGTGGGATGTGCCAGGGAGCTGGGGTGAGAGATCTCAGCTTAAATCTGGCTTCTGCCACATTACTGTCTTTGGTGTTTGGGGGCAAGGTTTCTTCCTCCAGAAGAATACTTCTGTCTGCCTCACAAATGAGAGGATTTGCTGAAAATGTACCACACTCTATGAGCAGTGCCTGAACAATTCTTTGGAAATTGGAACTTGGAAGGAGACGCAGTTGATTTGACACTGGTGACACTAACATTGGAAGGTTACTAGGCACCACCAGAAAAAGGGACTCTGTGGCCACTGAGTTTAGGAAACTTAGAATTCACTTCTGAGCCTTTCGTCTGTGGATGTGCGTCGTGACGCAGATGCAGGGGTGACCAGCTTACCTCACCTTTCGTGTTTAAGGAAGAAGGAAGATTTGCCTAGTGATTTTCTGAGTGTGAGATTGGCAAGAGGCTTCTGTAGAGCACTCTGGAGGAGCCTGTGGACAGGCACGCAGGGCACCCCTGAGGTGTTCAGGGTGTCCCCTTGTGACCACTACTTCTACCCTTCTGCCAGAGTCCTTTCTTACCCCATGGCAAGAACGGGGTGGGGGTAACTGGGCATTGGGGAGGAGAGTGAGTGATGGGGTGCAGAAGGTCACTTCCAGAATAGTCAAAGGAGCTTTCCTTTGGTGCAGATTGAAGAGAGGTACAGGGGTGGGCAGGGCCACAGGAGTCTACCCCTCTGTATCGGCCCTATTCTTGGAAGATGCAGGTGCAGAGATGGAAGTTCTTGGGAGAGTTGGGGGATTATCACTTAAAATTGCAGCTCCTCCACTTACCTGTTTCGCAACTTGTGCCTCGGTTACCTCTTCTATAGAGAAAAAGGAGTAACCAACCAGAGAGCATTGTTTTGAGGTCTCAATGTGTCTGGAACGGTGCCTGGCCCAGAATAAGCTTTACGGTGCCTGGCCCAGAATAAGCTTTACTGCCCCTTTGCTTGGGTGGCTGAGACTGAAAGCAGTGTGGAGGGAGAGGGGCTCTGGCTGGGCAGAAAGCCTGGCGAGCGCCTGCGCTCAGGCTGTGCTTTCCGAGGCAGCACTGGCAGCCTCCCCACAGCTAGGAACCGCTGAGAATCGTTTAACCTGAACCAGGAGATGAAAGCCACTAGAAGAGACTCAAAACAGCTGAGCTTCTACGCCCACTCTGTCCCATCCTGCCTGGCTGGTGGAAGGTGGTGGGACCAGGACAGGGAATGGGGGTGTCCAGCCATGAGCCTCAAATTCCCTTTGATCTTGTCATTGCTGTTAAGACTAAGCCCTGGAGTCTCTTCCAGGGCCACTACCCCAATTTGGAGAAGCTGTCTTAATTGTGCCCCTCTGAGGGCGTACAGGTGTCTGCCACCTCCGGGCCGCCCCCCACAGGAGCCAGGTGGACAGAAAGGGTGGCCTGAGCTGCACGGCAAACGGGCCCCACTGAGGCTTCGGCCAGGTCTGACTACATGTGCTGGGGCTGCTTCTCTCCCAGTTCTGCTTCTTGTATATATTTGCAGGGAAGATGTTAACACTTCCTAACAAGCCTTTGTGTTGTCTAATCTCTGCTATTTAACCTTTGACTTCCTCCTATTATCGGTGTCTGCCACCTTTACTGGCCAGACTGGGGCCCCAGGAAGCGCCCTCAGCCCTGCAGCCTAGCAGGGGATGCGGGCATTCCACCCCTCTGCAGATGGATCGCCTTTCCCTGGGGCGGAGCTTTGGAAAATAAAGCAAACTTGTGGTGCCATTAGGTAGGGTACCCCACCCCCACTCCTTTTGAACTGTCACCTTTAAGTAAACATTCCCCCCCCCAGTCCCTTGGTGGGAGGGGGGAGCCTGGAGGAGAGTGCCTGGGAACCCCCACTAAACTGCGATCTGGGCAGGGAGTGGGGGGCAGAAGTGCCACCTCCCTGTCAGTTCTGAGTCCCAGGGCATCAGGCTTTTGGGTGCCCGGGGTTAGCTTCCTACTTCCTTTGAAGTAGGAAGAACACCCACTCCTCCAGGTCCCTCACTTGAGTGTGTGGCAGCTACTTGCAGGATTTCCTGCCCCAGCCAGCTCATGAGTGAGCTCTTGGGCACAGGATGGCACCCCCATTTCCCGCAAGAAAAGGTCCTGTGGACCGAATGTGAGGTGAGGCGGCCATTCTCTGGGTTCACTATAGTAGGCACCAGGCCAGGAGTAAGGAACTTTATTTAATCCTGACTCCACTGACAACTGGTGTGACCCCAGGCAAGACATTTCACCTCTTTGGTAATGGGGGTGAAATTTCCTTGCAAAACAAAGTTCAGTTATACACATCATATGCTGTGCACTCTATCTGGGGTTTCTGTTGTTGATTTTGTTGGGTTTGTTTTACTAAAGGGACTGTTAATCTCTGCACCAGCATGCAGGTGACAGGGCCAAGTGTGTGGGGCACGGAGGGGTGGGGTCTCGGGCCGGAGAGGTGGCCCAGCTTCTGCAGTGACGCGCGCTCTGTCCTCTGGGGTCCCTCCGGAGGCCATCCTCTCCTGCCCGCGGTAGCTCAGGCCTTTGGTGAGGTCCCCTGCAGGAGGCATGTAGCTCCCTTCCTTCGGGAGCCAGCCCGAGATGACCATTGTTGACACGCAGGTTCCATTTTGTGGGGTACAGTGGAGGCCTGGTTTGCCTGTATATCCTAGGAGGCTTCGGTGTGTGTTGATAGGGGTGCCGGGTTGGCCCCGCTCGTCTACTGCTGGACTGGCACAGGCCTTCTATCCTGTTCTTCATTCCAAGGCCACCGAGCCCTAAAGTACTGAGAGCTCCACTGGACTTGCCCTTCTCCTCTGCGGCGGTGTGGAAGGCACCGGGTGGCAGCAGAGAGGCCTGCGGCCCGACTGTTGGGGCCACCTGACTGGGTGTTCCTATGGCCTCGTGATGTCTCCACAGGTACCTTAAGAAGTTCTCCATTCCGGACCTAGACAGACACCAGCTACCTCTGGATGCTTCCCTGCTGAGCTTTGCTCATGCCAACTGCACCCTGATCATCTCCGTAAGATTCGCCCAGATGTCTCAGCCGTTGCATCAGGGAGGGGTTCCTTTTCCTTCCCATAGGCATGCGGCGCCACCTTCCCCAGGGAGCTTGCTAAAGAACAAGCACTTCCACTTCAGTGTGGGGACAGCAGGGTGGGGCTGGGAGGAGAGTCTGACTTTACAAATCATAGTTGGGAGAGGATGGAGGGGCCTGAGGGAGAATGAGGTCACAGCACCAGGTTCTGGTCTAGCCTGTTCCTATGAGCTTGAGCAAATCCCTCAGCCCATGAGGCCTCAATTTCCTCATCTCTGAATAAAGGGTTCGAAGGGGTGTGTGTGGTGGATGTGACTGAATTATGTCCTTTTTTGGCTCATCCACAGTACCAAAAGCCAAAGGAAGTCCTGTTAGCGGAATCAGAACTGCAGAAGGAGCTAAAGAAGGTAAAGACGGCCCACAGCAGTGATGGGGACTGCAAAACCCAGTAACAAGCACCCCTACCTTGAAGGATGTGCACCCCAGCTTGGAGGACGGTGAGGCTCTTCGTGTGCCCATGAGACCTCAGGGCCTAGGCCTTTCCATGCAGGGGCAGCCTCTTCTCTCCCAGGAGCTATCAGGCTCCCTGAGAACTGGGCCTCGGGGCCTCCTGGTCACATCTCCTGAGTAAAGTCATTGAGTCGCTGTGGGAGGACTGCCCTCTTGTCCACTTTTGTACGCTTCTGTCCCGAGATGGGGGCTGTGATGTTCCTTTCTCCATCCTGAGGACCTCAAACTGAAGCCTTCTGCGTGAACACGGCTTCAGTAGCGGCCAAAGCTAGGCTGGAAGGGACTCGGCTACACTAGTTTGCAGAAGCGGCCCAGAGGAACTCCCTAAGATAGGTGTAGGTGAGCGATACATTTTTAAAATACGTAAGTCTTGGAAACAGCCCAGGCTACTGAGACACTGATGAAGAGACCATGAGTGCGGCAGGGGTGTGCGTGGTGTACATTGTTGGACGTGGAAGGCACCACAGCGGCGGCTGCTCCATAGAGCTCTCCTTGAGGAGAAGCCTTTCTTCTCTGGAGCACTGGGCCCTATTCCCAGCATGCACATCCCCAGTTTGAATCTGCTGGTCCCTCGACCTGGGGTCTTCCAGGACTCCACAGCCAGTGAGAAACCAGATCTGTGAACAATCAAGCTTTATTTTCTACAAAAGTGAACACTGTAGCATGTCTTGGGAGCTAACCTGAGCGTGGGCTGGCTCAGACTGCCGGGTTCTCTTTGTCCTCTCTTGTTTTCAAAGCAAGACGAGGCTACCGTGCCCCAGGAATGTGTTCCCAGCCCAAGCATTTGGTCAAGGGTGGGGTCTGACTGAGGAGGTAGGGGCCAGCGCCAGCAGGCAGGTTGGCAGCCTTGGCACTCCTTCCAGGCAAGGGGCAGAAAGAGAGCAGCTGGGTGGCTGAGCACCTCGCCTCGCTAAGCTGTTGTGGCTCAAGGGTCTGCAGGGCAGGGTGCAGGCTTGATCCTGTTCGAGCCGACAGGGCCGAAAGCCTAGCCAGGTTGGCTACCTGTCTCAGAGTGGCACATATTTTTCCTCCATCTGGTTCCCAAGAGGGACCGAGCCCCTGGTGACTCCAAATTCCTAGTCCGTGAGTTGCCTGTAGCTGGAGTCACAGGTCTACAAGCTCAGGCACCGTGGGGCAGGGGAGGAGGTATCACTGTACCTCCCATCAGGACAGTCCCTGAGTAGCTGGCTTCCCTGGTCCACAGGTCACGGGTTCTGAAAGTCCAGGACGTGGAGGTTGTAAGACAGCGCAGCGTAGAGATGCTTGGTGGTAAAGCGCAGGCTGTACACAGGGCTGCTGAGGGGCGTCGCCGTCAGTGGGAAGGCCTGCAAGGCGGGGCACCGGGATGGGGAGCGCTTTCCAGTGGAGGCTGGAGGAAAATGAACCCTAGATGCCCAGGGCATCTGCCCCTCCCTCCAGACACCACCCCCAGGGCTGAGATGGGCACTCACGTGCAGGCAGGCCCTCTGGCGCCGGTCCCACAGCCGCACGACTCCGTAGTAGGAGGACCCCGTGGCCAGCAGGTGGTTCCCATCTGTCTGCAAGCAGTAGAGGGTGCTGTCGTGGGGCTCCTCCCACTCCATGACACACTTCCTGTCCAGGAAGAGGAGAAGCTGGAGGGTGGTTCAGGGGAGCCCTCTGCACCTCTACCCCAGCTTTCCTCAGGAGCCATTTTTGACTGGGGGAGAAGGAAGCTGAGTTCCCCAAATTCTTCAAAATCCTCTCCTCTGTAAAGGTCTCACTGGCCAAGCCCCAGACTCCAAGGCAGCATCTGTGCTTCCCGTGCGGTGATGCCCAGAAGGCCCCTGCGGAGCTGCACCTCACCGGTCCTGGGGCCAGAGAAAGGCCTGCCCGTTCCAGGGCCCGGTGTCCATGGTTTCCCAGGCCCTGGGCTCCTGGGCTCTGGGACCAGGAATCCCCAGGGTGGGGAGTCTCAGCTTGGCTGACCCCAATGGGGGACTTTGTGCCCACCCTGCGGGCATGGCACTGCTGGCCTCCCACTGCGTACTCACCGGACACTGGCACGGAGGTCCCAGTAGCGAATGTAGGTGTCGTAGCCACAGGACAGGAGCGTCGATGGGGACTCATACATGACATCCAGCACGCCAGCCCCTGGAGGGAAGTCACTGCCCAGGTGTGTCACCAGCTGCCCACTGCAGAGAGGAGGTAAGGGGAGGTCGGCCTACCTGGGCCCACACCCATTCTTTTCACCTACAAATGGGCAGCTGCAGCTCTCCACCCCAGGAGTTGGACCCCCTCGGCAAGGGGCCTGGGAGGACAGCCCCCAGCTCTTCCTGCCCCTGCTGAAGGCCTCACTCAGCGGCCAGCACTCCCTCCAGCACACCTGCGTGCTGCCGCCGCCAGCCACGGTGAATGGGCCCCGCTGAAGAGGTCGCCCCCCCACACTCGGTTACTTTATACTCCTTGATCCTGCAGGTCGTGCAGTTCTGAGCTGCCCGAGTGCAATGCCTTAATTCCCGCCTGTAATCTGGGGCTCAAACCTCATTGGGGATAAAGACCACACAAAGGGAGAAGGGGAGTCCCAGGAGATGTTAAAACAAGTAAACACCTTTGTGTCTGGGGAGAGAAATCGCTGAGAAAGCAGCTTAGCGTGCTGGTCCCTGGAGTTCCTGGGCCGCTGGCCCCCAGCCCGGGGTAGCACGCCTCTGTGATCACAGCCCCCAGCCTGCTGGGCTCCAGCTTGCTCCCCCACTTCACCCCTCCCGGTGGCCGAGAGCAGATTACCGAGAAGAACAATTTCTTTGTGACTGTGTAGTTCCCTCCGTGACCGCGGCAGTGGGCAGACCCTTCGCCCCGATGCCGGACCCCTAGCAACCACGTAGGGGGGCCTCCTGGCCCTAGCAACTACCCCTCAACATCAAGTACACTCGCTAATCCCTGTGGCTTGGGGACGGGTAGAAGCAGAGTTTCTGCAGCATGATTGGGGGAATGAAGAAACAGACGGCCCCTTCCAGGCCCAACCCCATAGCTTCACCCAGGGGTGCTAGGCTCTCCTCATGGCATGACGAGAATGTGGCCACCGGCACGTCACAGAGACACCCCGGTAAGAGGGTGTGGCGGACTTGGTCTTACCAGCCCAGCTATGGCACAGGGCCAGAGGCACCTCGCCTCCAGCCCTGCCCCTTACTCCGCAGTAAAGCCGAGTCCCTGCAGGCATAGCGGCGGCTCCCTCTGCCTTCCCCACCGGAGCCCTGGGCAGCACAGTGACCCAGCGGGGAGCACAGCTACTAGGCACCCCTGCCACAGCCTGTCCCAGGGAAGCCCCTTCCTGTCTGGCAGATGAGCCCATGCTGGGGTGCGGGCTTGCCGGCAGAAAGGCTCCCAGGCCCGCCCACATCTCTTAGGGCCACTGATCTCGGCTCCCAGGAAGCTCGGTCTTCCCAGATGGGCTGGTCACTCCCACAGGTGCACACACACTTGTATGCATTCCAGGTAGGGGCTGTTTTGCTCCACAGTTCCCCCCTCTCCTTCCAGATTTGGGGGCCCTGCCCCTCCATTAGTGAGGCCTGCAGGAATGACTGAGGAGCTCTCCCCTTTAATCTGCTGCAGTAATTTCATGTTTGTCTGTTTGAAACAGAAGATGAAAGGCAGTGGGGCCGGGGAGGTGAAGCACAGCATGGCTCTACCTGCCCATAGCTGGCCCAGGTTTGAGGAGGAGAGCTGGGCACCCCTGGGCTGGCCAGGCAGTGTAAGGGCCACACCCAGATGACACTGCATGCTGGGCCTCTGCCTCAGTGTCCGAGCCAGTACTGCGAAGAGTCGTGGCACAGTGTCTGTGATAAGAGACACGAAACCCCACCATCTGGGAAAGACCCAAAGACCAAGTGAACACCAGCCCTGGGGGCCAGGACTAGGCCCGCTGGCCTAGTGGCAGTTCTGGGTTCTCTGAAAAGGCCACACACACTTTAAATGGGCCAATAAAGAGATACGATTTCTTTTGCCGGTGGGCCTGGAACCCTCGAGGCGCTGTTGTGTGTGCCCAAGAGGTTAAGTTCAGAGCATAAACTGACACACCCGCTCTGGGAAATGGCCCCGCTCTTCCAACTCAGCGCTTCCAACCCAGCCGAGGTGCTACAGGGGCCCCGCTGTGGCTTTGATTTGGGAAAACAAACAGAAATAGCACCACAGGCCCCTCATGGCCCCCACCCCAGGGCCAATTTAACTAGAAAACTCTTGCTCTAGTGGAGGGAGAGAGATCAGCCAACAATAGCCCCAAACTTTGGGGCTGGGGGGTGGAGAAAGAGGGACAAAACAAACTGCCTCCTCAGCCCCCCTCTGGGTCTTCTTTTCTTACTGTGAGGGCATTCTTGTAAAAACGATTAGATTGCAATTTGTATAATGTGGTAACCCCCAAATTCAGATATTTCACCCCTTTTCACTGAAAAGAATGTTGAGAATGTATCCTGGTGCTCACTGTGGGGGGCAGGAGCGGGTACAGAGCCCTGGCTGTTACATGGCTTGTGTGGGAACAGGGCTCGGCTCAGGCCGAGACAGGAGCAAGGGCCAGGCTCACTATACGGCCAGACAAAAAGTCCATCCCCTTCCAAGCCCGCACACAAAGCCTGGACTCTGGGAGCTGCTGGGGGCCTCCACACCCCAGCCTCCCCCAGTCTCACTCCAGCCATTCTTTATCAACCCAGGGAAAGATAAAGACAGATGGGGCTGCCCTCGTGAGCCTGATGAGTGAGATCCAAGCCAGGGAGCGTGGCCTGAGCCGCCCTCTTCCCAAGGCCGTCTCCCCCGGAGGAAAAGCCAGCAGATGCACACCCTAGGTGAGATTAGTCAGATGTCCCTGGCTTAGCCGCCCCCCCACCCCCCCAACCCCAACATCAGGAGAGGAGAGGGAGGACGAAGAGGAGTTCCTGGCAGGGAAGAGTGAATCTTAAATGATACCCATCACCATCTTTGTGGGGACAGTTAATTGGACATAGGTCCCTGGACTGAAGGCCCAGGTGTTCTATGTGGGCGAGGTCCTGAGTGACAGGTCAGAGTTGAGCTCAGAGGGGCAGTCCCTGGCAAAACCCCATCGTGCCTCTCCCCCAGCGTAGACCCCTACAGAGCCAGTCCGGGATCCTGCTTCACGCCCCTCCTAAGTGCCCTGATCTCATCCTGCCCCTGCACCCACCACAAGCCACAGCCTGGAGTCCTGTGCTGACAACGCCCTTGGCCTCCACGTCTCAGTCACTTTCAACATACTGACTTCCAACGATCCTCCCAGGAGAGCACCTATAGGTGCTCATTCTTTGCATCTGGATGTGAGGACACCCCATTTAGCATGTGCTACCCCAAAACGCAAGGGTAGTTTTGGGGAGAAGAGCAGATGGATGGCTGACAAACAGGACAGATGGCCTGAAGGCATAAGCAGGGCCAACATGGCTGCTGAGAGGAGGCTTTGTCTCACTTCTTTCCCCTGCTCCTTCCCACTTCCTTTCTTTGATCATCAGCCACTTACTGAGCACCTTCTGCATACAAGGCATTATGTCAATAGAAAGTGCAGGGAAATGTGAGAGACATTCTCCTTGTCCTCAAGGAGGTTTCCCTCCAGGGAGAGAGAGATGTCTGTCAAGTAGTCAACTGGGGGTGGGGGGGCTTTATAAGAGGGCAGGTGAGAGGAGGTTTCTACTTGCGGGCACTGAGCGTCAGCACAGAGCTGTCACAGGCAATGACAGGCGTGGGGGGGAGGTGTTGGCTCAGGGAAAGGGCCAGCTAGCTCCGGCCAGGGCGCAGAATTAGGGCACCTGGCTGGCACCTGGCCCAGCTGGAGGCTTGGGTCCTTGAGGGCAGGGACTGGCTGGCGCACCGCTACGCTGGCGTGAACGCCATGGCTGCAGGGCCCGCGGGTTTTGGACCGTGGTCGCTCTGCAGTCCCAGCTATAGTCTGTCTCTGGTGGGGTGGGTGAGAATGGAGGAGGCCAGGCCTGCCCCAGCCCCGCAGGTCAGAGCCCAGGGTCCTGGTCAGGCACACGGCCCTTCATGTGCACGTGTGCGCGGGCACAGCACCCGCACCCGCCTGCACACACGTGTTCAGACACAATGGCTCAAAGGCCAGGCAGCCAGGCAGCCCACTTTGTACTGCTAACAAGAGGGCCATAATTACAGGAAGGGGCAGCCGGGCAGATAAAAGGATACAAAATTTCAACATCTGTTGCCATAAAGGGATAAGGAGAAGTGAAACGCAAAGTATCAGTTTGGTGTCAGCAGGCAGAGAGCCAATTTCAAAGAGTTCAGGGGGACAGAGGGGACAAGAAAGAAAAGGGGGGAGAAAGAAAGAAATTACAGGGTTCTTTAAAAAGGTAAAGAAAAAAGAAAATGAAAAAAGCTGTCAGTAATACTTTCAAAGGAGAAGGCAGGTGCTTTAAAGAGGGGGCAATTCCCGTAATCACCCTAACAGAGGGCCAGGCCCCGCGGTCCCAGGACAAAGCCACACCTGGGCGGGCAGGATGGGCACCAGCGGTGCCCTCGGAGCAGCGCGACCTGCGCTTAGGCCACTGGCTCCTCCTGCAGGCGGCAGGGGCGCTGTCCCACGCCCCGTGCCACCGGATGCTCCGAAGGGACCCTGAGCCCGAGAGATGGCTGCCCCACGGGGGTCTGTCCAGGCCACAGGACGATCGACAAGGTCCACGTGAGTGCTTGGGCAGTGTTCGGTGGAGAAGGACACCAGCTCCAGCCAGAAGAGAGATGAAAGCAAGTTTTATAAGGGGACGACAAGAGGTTTCTGGTTGTGAGTACTGAGCTGCTTTAGCACAGAACTGTCACAGGCAGTGATGAGAGGGCGGGGGAAGGGGGCGAGGTGTTGGCCCAGGGAAAGAACCAGCTGCAAGCAAGGAGCAGAGCTGGGGCACCTGGCTGGGGGGGTCATGGAGGGCTTCGAGGGGGAGGTGCTACTTCTGTTGGCCAGTCAGTAGGGTTTCAGTAGGCAGAGGGAGGTCTTCCAGGCATGAGACAGCTGGAGCAAGGACTCAGAGGGAAAAATATAGGTACCTGTCACAATGGGTGAGAAGCCCTGCCTTCTTTAAGAGAGACTTGGGGCTTTGAGACAGAAATGGAGGCATAACGGGAAGGGATGTGTGCTGAGCCAGGCGTATTGTCACACATAGCACAGTGTCAAGCCCAAGACTCTACCCCCTTCAATGCCCTTGGAATGACATGGTCACCCACGCCCCATCAGAGAGCCCAGATCGCAGGCTGCAGCTGGACCCACTGTGATAACCACTGGGTCTGGGATCACAGGCCTCCTCCGTCCTGGTGCCTACCTGCCCACGACCACCAGGGCATCTGTTGTGCCTGCTCTCAAGGCACCAGTGCCACTTAGCAGAAAAGTATAACCAGTGACAACAGCAAGTTCAGGGAGAGGAGTATGTGATGTCAGGCCAGTCAGGTCTCCCCGGCCTTTCTAAAGCCAGGAGACACGCCCCACATCAACCTGGCAACTTCCCTGGGGCCTAGCCAAGAGTTCCCATCAAAAGCAAACAGGGAGCACAAGATGGGGCTGTGATTCATCCAGAGCTCAGGCCCAGGAATGGGGTTATTCTGGCATAGTTCCCTGGCCTGACATGTCAGTGGTTGCCTTCTGGCACTGTCAAGATGGATGTTCTTGGGGCCTTGTGATAAGACCTAGTGACCACCTTCCCCGGGGAGGAGGGACACTCTGGCATCTCCAGGTGGGGTGAAGAACTCCCTTGCCTGGTTTAGACAAGTTAGAATTTCCCTTTCATTGAGCCCAGCACATGGTCTTCAGCAAAAGGACAGAGAGGCAGAAAGGGAAGGAGAAAACAGTCAAGTTCCCAGCCCACCAGACAATGGCTGCGAGCTGGCCTCTGACCCGTGTGCTTCCTCTCTACCCCATAAGGAGGATGGAGTCTTCAAGGATCTTGACGGAACGAAGGGCTGAGGGAGCCATGGTGACTCTGAAAGGGGTCCCAGGCACTCAGAGAAGGGGCAAAGCTCCTGGCAGACAAGATGGATGAGGGGTCCCCAGTGCCCAGCAGGATGCCTACACCTGAGAGGCATCTCCCCCAGCGCCCGAGGGCAGCCCCTGGAGGGGCGATGTCAGAGCAAAACTGCCCTCCGGTACTCCGCCCACCAAGTCACAGCACACACATAAAAGAGAAAATCCTGCACGCCTCAAGTTTCAGCAGTGACAGGTTAAAAGCAAAGAATCCATCCAGTATCGCACACAGCCCCGCCACCAAGTCCTGCCGGCGATGCGGCTCCACCTTCCAGATTGGCCTGTCAGTCAGGCTTTGGCATTATTGAAAGATCAAACTCTGTCCTGCCTGTTCATTACCTTAATCCTATTTTCTACATGGCTTTATTATCTGCTTGGGCTTCTCTGAGAGAGACAGCCACAGACATTCGTCCTGTCCGTCCGTTTCCTCCCACCAAAAGCAGATGCCTCCACTTGGGAATCTCCCTCCACCTCTGCACGGCACAGGCTCCATGTGCTGCTGAAGCCAGGAGACATGTTTAAGGACGTCTGGCTCGGCTCAGCAGTGAGGCGGGAAGTCAGGGCTAGGGCAAGGCAGTGCCAGCGTGGCCCCGGACAGCCCTGCCATCAATTGGCCAGTGGGCTCAGTGGCTGCCGCTGGTCTGGCTCCAGTGAGAACTGAGGCCACAGCTGTCGTGTCCATTCTCATCTGGGTTCCTACTAGGTAGAGACCATGTGTTTGGGTTAGTGACATAGGGGTTTCATAAGAGTATGCCATTCAAAAAATTGGGGTGTTTTAGAAACTCTACCCTGACCATCATCTGTGCCCAGAAGAACCCCCACCAAGGCAACCCTAGCCAGAAGGGGCCACTCAAAGATCATATGAGATAAAATTGGACCACAGGGGTGTATCCCCTCCCCCGGCATACCCCCCATCCTGGGGCCAGGCCAGTGATGACACCAAGCATCAGGTCCAACTATATGTCTAAATGTAACCAACTTTCAGCAATAATAGCTGAAAGTTGGTTACATTGTCCACCTACAGCCCTAGTGCCAAGAGCCTTTTCTGTGCTCTAAGGTTGCAAATTCACCTCCCCTTCTACTAGCCACAAGGCCATAGCTGGTTGGAGCACTGACAAGCTGAAATCCTGCAAACTGCAAGGTACTGATGTGACTAGGTAAAAAGATAGCTCAGAGTGGTTTGATGTCTCCAGTGTGGAAGGAAGGCGCAGAGAGTCGCAGAGCTTACTAAAGCAGCAGTCAAGTCAGCCATCCAGGTCTGTGTAACCACACCAGCTGTGCACCCTCTAGTACCTCACAGTCTCCATTCTGAACCCCCAGAGGAGGGACTCCTGCCTCAGCCCCATTCAGAAGGAAAAAGTTGCCAGTGGCAAGAATCTAGCAGGTGGGAACAGCTTTCACAGACAGCAGGAACTTCAATATCCCAAGGGCAAAAGAACAAAAGTGCCCTTGGAAGTTTTAGTTATGCAAACAACAGTGTCAATGGGCTAATTAACAAAAGCAGAAATTTCCAGAATAAGGGAAACTGCCATTCATCAGCTCACACCCGGCTGTTCATTACTCAGTTGTGAATGCCGCTTTTCTAGGAACAACATACCATATAAATTAGAAGAAAACTCAGGACTGTGTATCACCCATTCAGCTACTCCTTACCTCACCTGTTTTGCTGACCAAACCATTCTTGATTTTGTGCCCACCTCTCTTTTCCCCCACCGCCAGAGTTGCCCTGGAAAAAGCTGGCTCTTTCCCAGCCTCCAGGGGCATCTTCACAGAGCAGTCCATTTCCCCTGTCAGCTCTGGGTCAGGGTAAGCATGGGAACAGTTTTCATTCACTCAATACTAGGAAAAGTATCTTCGGGGGCTCTGAGGAAAGCCTTCCACAGCTTAAGCAACTCCAGGCAGGAACATGGCCTCTCCCCCATCTCTTCCCTTTGCTTTATGATTGGTGAAACTTTTGAAAACCAGTTTCACCATGAGGGCACGGGCAAAGTCACTGCAACCAGGGTGCAAAGCGGGAGCGGAGAAGATGGTCCCTGATGTTCTCACTGAACTACTGGCCACGCTCTTCTGGACTCCTGGCCAGGTGAGACAGTCATCACCCCTTTGTTATTTGAGCCGCTTTGAATCCAGTCTTCATTGCTCATAGCCCACAGACTCTAACTGATCTACGGTATCTGTGAACAACAGCTGAAGGTCCTTAGACTTCTGTCCTGGGGGGGAGAGGTGGGGAGAGAAGATCCTAGAGGAGCAGGGCCTGTCCTTCGGAGGAGAGGTTCAGCCTGGCTCTTGCCCAAGACAACTCAGGGAAGCAGGTCATCCTCACATAAGGGCAGGCATTGCAAGGCCCAAAGCTGCACGTGGTTCCCACCCCTGGTTCTCATTCAAAAGAATGTTGTACAGAAAAGCATATTTAGTTAAAACATCTCATCTGTAGTAAAAGTTATATCTGAAAGATGGATTTTTCAGGGAAAAAAAAAGTTATGGGGCCCTCCCTGGTGGTGCAACAGGGTTAAAGTGCAGCACTATGAAGCTAGCTGCAGCTGCTTCAGCACAAGTTGGATCCCAGGGAGCTGACCCACATGGCACAGCAGACCTCTCCTGTCTCGCCCGCTGCTCTCCTCAGCAGTGTACTTCATCGATCTGCCTGTTCTGCTCCCCACTGTCTCTGGTGAATCCTCTCACCCTCTGCATCTCTGGTCTATACCCCAGTTCTTGTATGCAAAAATAAGTAAATCTTTAAAAAGAAAAGACGTTATGGCTAATAGTTTCCTGGGGAGATGGACAGAAAGAAGGCAAGCTAGAGCAATTGAGGCAGGAGACAAGCAAGATGATCACTGCCTTGCCACTGTGGATTATGTCACAGAAACCAGGATGTGGGCACTTAGTACTGGTGAAGCATTCTTAGACTTGATGCCAAAAGCACAGTAAGAGAAAAGGCTGAGATCATTTTGACTTCATCCAAATCTGAAAATTTTGCTCAGTAGAAGACCCTATTAAGAGGAGGAGACCAGCTACAGACTGAGAAAATATATTTGCAAACCACACACCTGACAGGGTAGTAATACCTGTAATATGCAAAGAACTCTCAAAACTCAGCAGTGCAAAAGCAAAAATTCAGTGAGAAAATGGGTGACATGAGTAGACATTTCATCAAAGAGAATGTGAGAGGCAAATTAGCACACAGAAATTTGTCCCACTATATTAACTATCAGGCAGGTTCAAATGAAAACCATGATGAGATACCAACACCTGCAAAAACAGCTAAAATTAAATACAGACAATACTCAGCCAAATGCCACTGAGTATGTGAGAAACTAAAAACTAAAAAAAGTGAAAAACTAAACACACACTTACCATATTACCCAGCAATTATACCCTGGACAGTAAATCCTCAACATTCCTTTATTTTAGAAAAACCATCTCTGCAGACAGGTGGAATTTTAAGTAGCCACAGAGCCAGCACTTCTCAGAGAAAGAGAAATCCAAACCATTGTCATAAATTCTACATGAGGGCCCTCCTAGTGGCACAACGGGTTAAAGCGCAGCACTGCAAAGCTAGCTGCAGCCACTGTAGCACGAGTTCGATCCCCAACTGCGAAGGTGACCCACATGGCGCGGCAGACCTCTCCTGACCTGCTGGCTGCTCCCCTCAGCAGTGTACTTCATCCATCTGCCTTTTCTGCTCCCCACTCTGCCTCTGGTGAATCCACTCACTGCCTTCCCCCCACCTCCTGCACCTCTGGCCTGTACCCCAGTTCTGTATGCATAAATAAATATATCTTTTAAAAAAAACACTCTACATGAAATTATTCACCTACCATAATTTATAATTACTGCAGCAGTTTTCTCAGCAAACCCTGAATGATTCCTCGGGAGCAGGCATCCCAACAGAGCCCGTCAGGGGTGCTGGGCAGGGGTCCTGCCCAGCCTGCTCACGGGCCGCTCCTGGCCAGCTGAAGCAGGGCTGGCTCAGCCCACTCTTTAGCCTTTGCCCCTGGCTGCTTCAGCCCGACCCCCACTGGAAACCATGGACGCAAGGATCTCTTACCTGTTGAGGTCCCAGATTCTTAGGGGAGAGAAGTGTCCACAACAAGCTGTTCCTGTCACAAAAGAGCTGCCAAACAAAAGGAGAGCAGAGTCAGACCTAGTTGGCCAGAACCTGCAGAAGCAGCAACACAACTGAACGCAATGTGCTCATTCTCCAGGGGATCACGGGGTTAAGCCAGGATGGGAAGCAGCGAGAGAAAGCAGAGGAGCCAGAGGAAAACCGTTGGAGCACGTGAGGGCTGTCCCTTCCCAAGAACTCAGCGCGACAACCGTGGCTGACTTCAACATCTACAGGTGCAACTTAAGAGGCCCTGGGAGGGAAAGCTGGCAGGCTTCTGAGGCGGGAATGCTGGGTTTGCAAAGCCACAGCACCGAGAGGTCTCCTGGGAACAGGCTGTAGAGTGCTCTGGCATCCTGGTCAGAGGCGAGGGTGGCCAGGGGGCATCGCTGATGGTTTTAAGAACCAGGGCATCTGATCTACAATGTAAGCACAGGGCAGGGGTAAAGATGCCAAACTGAGGAAAGAAAAACTAAGACAGAGAAGTGACAATAGGAAAGGTAACACAGGTGAGTGCCCGAGGGTGGGAGAAGGGGCCGTAGGAGCCAGGCAGTCCATGCTCCAGGGGAGGGTGCCAGAAGGCCACGCTCAGACGACGACGACTGGCGTCTCCAAGGGGCAAGGTACTCTGACCATGTATCTCAGCGGCTCATAAGCCCCTGAGAGTTCACCATACACCACCTGCAGTTTCATGTATCTGGAGGTGCGCCCTGGAGTGAAGGTCAGTGCAGAGTGGGCGACTGGTGGGAGCACTAGAACTTGAACCTAGGGGCAAGACCAGCCCTTTGTTAGAGGATTTGTCAGGGGTGTGGCAGGAGTCTGCAGGGATCCTGGGCTTGAAAACCAACTGGCAAGCAAGAAAGCTGAAAGCAGTTGTGTCCCTCAGGAGCCCTGGGGCAGGGAAGGCATGCCCTTACGTGTCAGCTGTGGCGGAGAAGGGGACTGGACACACTAATGACAGGCTAGCAGAGTGGGGGCAGCAGCTCATCCGCCCAGGCCTTGCCCAGCACCTGTGGTGCTCTGATCCCAAGTGTGTCAGTGCGGAGAGGGATTTCCGCAGAGAGCTCTGAAGAAGCCAGTGGCTTTTGCTGGGGCGGGGGTGGCCTTGAGGGGAGCCGGCCCACCAGCTGAGTCACTGACTTGAATCAAAAAGCCAGGAAAGGTGCAAGGCCAGGGCTCCCCTGCCAAGACTTCCTCCAGAGACGTGCTCCACTGTTCCAGCTTCCTCTCGACTCAGAAGCACCAGCAGCCACCGAACCAGGATGGGGTGCCAAAAGAGCCACCACATCATGCCCCAAGTGATGGCCAGCCTGGGAAGCTGTCACTGGACACTGAAGCGCCAAACTACAAAGCCAGGAGGTGTGGCCTTCACCTCCTTCCCCCTGACATTTTTCTCTCAGGGTAATCCATTAATAACTGGTAAAGCCAATTACCTGGGGTTGGAAACATAATAGCCACTTGGAAATCATTGGAGCGGGCAATTGGGCGCTCTCAACTTTAGAGCAGCAGGGGCCAGGTGAGGGGCGCCAGCAGTTTTCTCTCAAGGAGGCCTGTGGCAGCCTCCACTGGCCACAAGCCTAAATTAGCGTCAAGGTAAGGGTGTGTGGGGGTGTGGGAGAGAGAAGGACAGAGGGAGAGAGGAGGTGCCTGAAGCCTGCATCTCCAACCTCCCATCCGGCCCGGGCAGGGACACAGACCCTCTCCCTGGGGCTCCTGCCCTCCACTGTCCTGCCACCCAGGCCCTGGCCCTGTCCATCTGCCACTGGGAGGAGGGCCTCTTTCTATCAAACCCTACAAAGACCTTTCTTTTCATGCCTGGATGTGACACCCATAAACGTTTCTTTCCAGAAGCTGCCCTCTGCCCTCATCTCACTATGTGAAGCAGGGAAGAAGAGGAGAGGAAAGCAGGATGCCATGGGAACTCCTAAAAGTTTAACCAAATTTTAGACTCAGTAGAGAACATGAAAACAACAGCACTCAGAGATCTGGAGCCAGGCCCTGCCGACACTCACAAGACTCACATCCAAACCGCAGGGACCGCCCAACTCCTGGGGTCACGTGAAGTTGGTTGCAGACACAGTCCTGGCATGCTCCGAGCTCCCACAGGCTCACTCCCAGGGGCTCCTGGGACCAGGCAGCCTCTGCACGGGCAGAGGCAGGAGCTGACAGCTGACAGGGCCCCGCCCTGTCCTCCCTAGCACACTAGACCTTGCCCGCATGGACAGACCAATCTTGGGGTGCCCTCCCTTGGAGACCGCCCGAGTGTCCTGTGGCCATGCCAGAGTGGTGCTTGGCCTACAAGCGTGCTCAGTACAATCTGTGGAACTGGTGGACAGCGCCTTTGGAGTCTGAAGCCCGGGAGGCCGGAAAGCTAGTGCACAGAGGCTGAGAAGGGGAGAGGGGTCCCTCTGTTCACTAATGATTCCTAAATTCCTAAGGCCTCCCTGGTGGCGCAGCAGGTTAAAGTGCAGCACTGCCAGCTGGCCACAACTGCTTTAGTGCAGGTTCAATCCCAGGCAGGGAGCTGACCCACATGGCGCGGCAGACCTCTCCTGCCTCCCCCTGCTCCCCTCAGCAGTGTGCTTTATCAGTCTGCCTGTTCTGCTACCTGCTCTGTCTCTGGTGAATCCTTTCACTGCTCCTCCACCTCTGGCCTGCCCCCCAGTTCTGTATGCATAAATAAATCTTTTTTTTAAGATTTTTTTTTAAGATTTATTTATGCATACAGAACTGGGGTATAGGTTGGAGATGCGGAGGATGAGAGGATTCACTAGAGATAGTGTGCGGGGGGGGGGGGAGGGACAGGCCAACTGAAGAAGTACACTGCTGAGGGGAGCAGCGGGCGGGTCAGGAGAGGTCTGCCATGCCATGTGGGTCACCTCTGGGGCAGGCGGGGATCAAACTCATGAGGAAATGGCTTTAGCTTCTTAGTGCTGTGCTTTAACCCGCTGTGCCACTAGGGAGGGCCAGAAATCAATCTTTAAAAAAAAAATTCCTAAGGCATCAGACTCAGCCCTGAATGACACATGACATGGTCATACATCACTAGGGCAGTAAAGTCCTTATAAGCACCACAACCAGGTACTGAATGACAAATGCTAACAGTACCTAAAAACTAATGTCAAAACACACACACACTTTTGTGAGCACGCTCTCACTCTGACTCCATAAACTCAACTTTTGGAGGGCCAGAAGGCCCTTTCTGAAAACCAACTGTCATATGTTTCACCCTACCCCAGGCCTTGCTCAGACCTACAGCCCCTCTGCGGGCGCGCCTGCATCCAGAGGTAAGCATCTGGCCCACGCAGTAGAAGTAGGAGATGCACATCGGAGAGAGACTTGCGGATTCTTAGGTACTCATATTACAGAAGAGAAAATAAAGCACAGAAAAAGTAAGAGGGAGGTAAGAAGAGAAGTTATCAATAGCTGGGTGTGAGCAGGGTGAAAAGGTTGACTCTGGCCCTCTAAATCACACTAGTAATTTACGGAGCACTGAACTGTTTGCCCAGCTCTGAGCAGGTAACCCATCTAGTCCTCACTACCACTTTCCTTATTTCACAAATGAGGAAACTGAGTCACAGGGAGATAGTATAACTTGCTCTAGCGTACACAGGAAGCACCTAGCAGGAACAGCACTTGACCCGGCCCACCTTCCTTCCTGACCTTGCCCTGCAAACCCCCCCTCGACACCTGGAATAACGCCCAACACAGTGAAACTCAAACGCCTGCTGAATGAATGAAGGGCAAGTGAACAAATGACTCCCCGGGCAGGAGCGCCGGTGACCGAGGAGGGCAGCAGGAGTGGTGAGCTCAGCAGCTGGGCCCCGGGGCTGGCCCGGAGCCCCCAGCTGGCCAGGCCCCAGCCGCCTCTGAGCCAGGGCTGACACACTCTGGCAAGGGAGGCCGCCGGAGCTGCCACATCATTCACCAACATGCCCATCAAGGGCATTCAGCTCTCTTCAGCCCGCATTGGCATTTTAATTACTGTTGGGTAAACTAATTTGTACAAATGAAGGCCGGGCTGCCTAATAGAATATGCAAGCTCTCTGACCTCTGACAGGCGCTGACACGAGATACAAAGGCCGCCGAGGAAGGCTTTTTATCTGAGCCTTATTACTCTCTATTACTCCAATTAGTCAGGCTCCAGTGCTCCTAATTGGAGGAAAAATTGCAATTAAATCAATTTTTGATGGGCTGCAAGTGGACTCCCGAACCGCCCTGCTTGTGAAACACTGATATTATAGCAGCAAAGGTCACAGGCCTCATTGGCACCTGGGGTCCCCCCCCCTCGCCCCTCGCCCCTCGGTTTCCCTCAGCTCCCTCCTAAAATGCCGCAAGGAAACCATGGCCCCGCCACAGGCTCCGCCAGCAAGGATGGGAAGAAGGGAGTCATCGGAACGTGTCAGGTCTCACTGCTGCCACTGCCATCTGCTAACCTGTGCTACTGACATCGGAGCAGCGGCCAGCTCCCGAAGCACCAATGCAGTGCAAGGTCACACGCGCGCTCAGCAAGGGGAAGCCGGAGCAGCAGTGCAGCCACAGCGCTGTGAGGAAGGGACCAACAGAGTGGAAACAGGGTCAGCGTAAGTCAGGAACAGGAGACATACGAGGCTGGGGCAGGTGAAAGCGTGAGGCAGCCAGCTCCCAAGTTCTAGCAAACAGGGTACCCCTGGCCACCCAATGGGAAGGGAAATACATGCATTGGGAAGGGAAAAAAGTAGACAAAAATATCTCAATTTCTCCCCAGCAAATAGCCCAACCCACAGCTGGGGAACATCTCCCTGAATGCCACCCACAGGCCAGAGGGCTGCCAGCTGCTCACATCCGTGATGGGGCAGGACACATGAGGGGCCTGCCATTCAGTCATCCAGGCTGGGGCCAGAGGCGCCCAGAACCAATTATAAGGCCAGTGAGGAGAAAGTCCAATTTCGGTCTAATTGAAAGTTGAATGAATGTTTAAGAAAAATAAAGTTTTGTTTCACATAGCAAGTGGCACACTATTATTACCT